TCCCCCAGGCTGGCCGCCCCCCCCCCCTCACTGGGGCCTCCTGCACCTCCTCCCCTCCCCAGTCCCGGCCATGATCACCTCCCACCCCAACACCACCATCGCCATCAAGGGTCACGCCAAGGAGCTCAACTGCACAGCCAGGGGTGAGCGGCCCATCATCATCCGCTGGGAGAAGGGGGACACGGTCATCGACCCCGACCGAGTCATGAGGTACGCCATCGCCACCAAGGACAACGGCGATGAGGTTGTCTCCACGCTGAAGGTGAGCAACCACGCCCCGGTCTCAGGGGGACCCCACTCTCTGAAAGTGGGGAGCCCGCAATTTTACTGCTGTATCTATTGGAAGTAGATGGGGATCTGGGAGCCCCTCCCCTCACCCCAAAAAGCACCTTCCCTTTCCTACGTATTTCCCTTCTTCATTGGGGAGCCTCTGCCTTAGAACCTCACTATGCCTCCTTCCTGACAACCCTACAGCCGTTAAATGTGTGGAACCCTCAGCCCTTCTCCCTTTTCTGGAACCCCTGGACTCCATCCTCCCTCCCGGACCCCTCCGCTCCTCCCTCCCTCTGGGACTCCTCAGTCCCTCCCCTTCTCCCTCGACTTTCAGCCCTTCCCTCCCTCGTGAGAGCCCCTCAGCCCCTTTTCCCCACTCTCCTGGGGTCCCTCAGCCCCTGTCTTTCTCCCCCTTGTGCCCCCTCAGCCCCTCCCTGCCTGGACTCCTCCACACCTCCATCCTTGGAACTTTCAGGGAAGAGGAGCCCTTGACAAAGCCCTTGTGGGCCCCTCTCCCAGGAGACGTGGCCTTGCTGCCCCCCACTAGAGTGAGCCCCCTTCAGCAGACCAGCTCTAAAGCACTCTCCCCATTTCCTCCCTCTCTCCCCATCCTCCTGCCCTGCGGGCCACCTCCCAGCTCAAGCCAGCTGACCGTGGGGACTCTGTGTTCTTCAGCTGCCACGCCATCAACTCATATGGGGAGGACCGGGGCTTGATCCAACTCACTGTGCAAGGTACCTGTGCCCCACCGTTCCCAAGCCCTTCCCCGGGGAGCCAGCTGCCTGCTGCCAGCTCCACCTCAAGAACGGGGTCATCACCCACACCGTGGTGGAGGATGATAGGAACTGGCCTCTGAGAAGAGCCTTCCTACGCTCTCCCTTCCGGCCAGAGCGGGGCAGTAAGGGCCCTTCCAGGCACACTTCGGACGGCAAGGTTTACACGGACCGCCGTCACTGTAGAACGCACTGCTGCTTCCAGAAGTGGGGGGCATCTGGGTTTGTGGCCCCGGACCCGGGAGGAGATGAGGGCAGGGAGAGTCAAGCCGGGAAAAGTTGAGAGCTCTTCACGGAGGACAAACAGACTCTCGGGTCAGGGGGATCCCTGCAAGAGGGCCTGCCCTCCCACCGGCCAACGAAGAGACGGGGAACAAAGCAGGAGACCAAGCTTAGGCCCCACTCTGCCTCTGAGCCCCACCGCTGGGCCTCCCCCTGACCCACCTTGCCCTGACCCCGGGTTCAGAGCCCATGGGAAGACCACGGCTGGCACCAATTCCCCGGGACACAGCAGAACCCTGGCCTTCTCTGGAGATAGGCGGGAGGCCATGCTCTCTGCTGCCGTCCTCACTCCTGCTCCTCACTTCCGCTCCCCAGAACCCCCTGACCCCCCAGAGCTGGAGATCCGGGAGGTGAAGGCCCGGAGCATGAACCTGCGCTGGACCCAGCGATTCGACGGGAATAGCATCATCACGGGCTTCGATATTGAATACAAGAACAAATCAGGTAGGGTGAAGGCTCAGCCTACGGTGGCCCTGTGCCCATGCCCTGTCCGTGCCCCCCTGTGGGGGAGTCCTTGGGCCTCAGAGCTGCCCATCTGAGACAAACACACCAGCACCCACCGGGCCACAGGCCCTCGTCTCTCCCTAAGGGCAGGACTCTGGTTGGGCTAAGAGCTCTGTGAGAGGGGCAGACGATGGGACAGTTAATGGGGAGGGAGGAGCGTCAGTCCCTTCTTTCCAGGACTGTCCCTGGGCCAAGGGCGACAAGGTGGTCTGACTTAAAGCAGCTGAAAGGCCCGGAGGCAAAGGGCTATGGGCTGAGTCTGTGGGGTCAGAGACATCATGGATTTGGCTAGTCATCTGGACACTCCTGGTTTGGGATTATGGGAGTGCTTGGGGGTCAGAGAGCTGGACCTTGGTGGTCTGCGGGAGACGGGATCCCCTGGAAAAACCTAGATCTAAGTCTTGTCCTCCTGGTATCCCTTCAGAGCCCTCCCCTGGGACCCTAGCTAGCACCGATGAGGCCGTGAAGCCCTGTGGAGCAGAATGACAGTGGGCCCCGAGGTCTCTGGGGAAATGGGGGACCCGTGGTCAGGTGGCAGGAAATGGCAAAGAGGGGGCCTCAGAGGGGGCGAGAGGCCTGGAGTGGACCAAGCCACAGAGTTGCCGCAGGGGCTCATGCTTATGTCTGTTTGACTCTCTCTGGAAGGTACGTGAGAAATGGGCCACCGGGGTTACCCCCGAGAGGGCGCCTGGGTGGCACCCACGTGGGAATGCGAGGCAAGCCTGCTTCTCACTCTGGCTGCTTCTGGACCTTTTGCGTTCGTTTAAGCCTTTGTCAGCTTTTCAAAAACAATTCAGAAATGGGAAGAGAGAGCCTGGAGAACTCACCCCTCCCCAGCCCCCTTTCCTCTGCCAGCTCCAACTAGTTTTCAGGTCTTCGTGTAGCTCCAAGGTTTTGTTTCTCCTGGGGGCTTCTAGACCCTTCCTTAGCACAGCGCACAGTCAGTGGCTGGCTGGGTGTCCTCTCCTCGGGAAGGACCAAGTCTCAGTCCCTGCTGTGTTCCCAGCACCTGGCACACTGCCCGCCACGGGCTTAGATGCTCGGCAGATGGCTGCTGAGTGAGTCAAAGTGAGACCCAGGAAAGCAAAGTCAGAGTTGCATATTCACCTCTTGAGAAGCAGCTCCGTCCGTGACACCAGGTCAGTCATCTCCGGTACAGGTTTCTCCAGGGAGGCGCCCTGCCCTTGGAAGCTTACTGGCTCGTTGGGCAGAAGAGTCAGGCTGCAGCCGGCCACCCAGGAGTCCATCCCTGAGTGTGGGAAGAGGGTGACAGAGAGGACTGGCTGCCACTATCAGAGGCACCGGGGAAGGCTCTCTCTCGTCCCTGCAGGTGCCACATTGAGAGCTAGGACTTGGGGGTTGGAAGGTGATGGGCCTGGGTTCGGGGAACGGGGAAGGGCAGAGCCCGGAGCAGGTGGAGTTTACCGCAGGGAGTGGCCTGTCTAGCACAGGGCTCTTGGATACAGTCCTTGGGACTAAAACGTGTTCTGGGGCCTCTGGGCTGAGCTTTTTACTTTGCTGGGGAAGGTCACTGAGAGCCACTCTCGATGAGCTCCCAGAGAGAGACTTGGGTAACACGGCACCCTGGAAAGATACATCTGGCGTCCGTGGAAGAATGGGGTTCTGGGAAGTGAGTGGGAGGCTGCGGCTGGGGAGAGGTGGTGAGTGGCCAGGCCTCAGCAGAGACGCGGGGCACGAGGGGAGAGGGGGCTGACTGTGTCCATCTCATACGTCAAGACCTCCTGCGGCTGCCCCAGGAGAGGGTGGGCCTGTAGGCCCAACCCCCGTATGGCACTGCCCGCTCTGTCTCCCTGCCAGGTTGCTATGGCTGGCGGGGCTCTGCCCTGTCATTGTCAGAGGAGGGGAGGGGAGGCCTGGGCTGTCACTCGCACCCCTCCCCGACTG